GTAAGAAATAATGTTGCTACTGATTGCACGAAATAAAATTCACCATAACTGAGCTAAATAAGATTTATTTATTTTTTAAATATTGCAAGTCCATTTGTTGCGTAATGTTTTCTTTTGCTTTTCTGAAATAGTTGGCGAAAAATGTATTCGTGTAAAGGCGGTTGGGACGTTACAGAACTTTGCTTTTTTGGGCTGTCTCATTAATATTTGATTTTGTTTTAAAGAACAGCACTTCGCTTGTATATTACCTCGTTGTTTGCGCTCATGGAATACCATTTTTTTAAGCCTTGAACTCCCTTTTTAAAAAGAAGTTAAATAATAATGTCACTTTATTCAAATGAACCGGTACTCCATTTATGACGCTTCTCACACAAAGATCTACGTTGCCTTTGTTATTAAAGATAGACAGATTAGGCACGACAACTATCCATTAAATTAAAGACAATCCATAACACAGTTTACCGTAAATCATTTTTAAACATTGGACACACCTTTATGATTTCTTCTGGCTCACTTTCAATATGTATGATCATATCCTCTCAAACTCCAGAGGACCTGGCCAACCTCCCGCAAGCCGTGACCATTCTCAGCCCGGCACAGGCGTCCAGTTCTTGGCTCAGCGACAACGACGACGTGACGTGCAACAGCGACCAGACCCTGGCGGCCGTCACTGTCGACTGGAACCAGACATTTGTGTTCACGTGGTTACGGTTAACCATGAACGCCACAGGTCAGTGGCGCTTGTTGTCTCCGCCACGGGTCGAGGAGTGATAAAAGTTGTGAAATTTTGTATTGGGAAAAATATGTTATCACGTGAACGCACCAAGATCAGGTAATTAGCGAACACAAGGAAAGAGATGACGACACTGGGCGCAATGACGTATAGACGGTCTATTTCAGATTTTAGCTTTGTAAAGTCAACGCCATTGGCTTAAAATAAATGTCGTACCGCGTGATCTCGCGCAAACTCAATAAGATTGGATAGCTTGATTATTGTAAATCTCAAAAAGATAAAGAAATCGTAAATGTTATAATGAGGAAGGTTTAATTTTTTTTTAGTTATAAACGGAAATTGAAAAGTATCAATCTTTTGTTTTTCACTTGCAACCCTTAAAGTTACAACAGCTCCCTACAGTTACTAGCCGAGTTCTTGTCGTATGATTCTCTTTGGGCTATTTAATTTTATTTTAAACGTTCATTAACTCGTTCTTGGAGTTGTTTGGGTTAAGCCGTCCCATCCCAATTATCTTAACATTTCATTCACACGGATCGAACGCAGCATATGCTTTTATATTCTCTTCGATGAAGTCAATAAGCGAGTGTGAAATCTCTATGGTAGCCGAATGCAGTGCTCTTATCATCTGAGCTTCAAATAATCTGAACTTTCAAGATTTTAATATAAAAAAATAATTCTTATTGTTGTTTTTTTTAAAAATAAAATACCGGGGAGGGTACCCTTTCGCCCCCCCCCTGTCTCCCCCCTCTTTTTGTCCCGCCACCAACGGGAGTCCTTCACTCGTTTTCATTTCTAATTTTTAGATTTACAAGATAGCTCAATACGGGTCCTTTTTAAGGAGTCGGTCGCAAGCAATGCGTCCGGCTGTGTGAATCAGGAAATACTGCAGCTGCCAAACAACACATTTGAGATCCATTGCGACTTGAGCAGCGTTATGGCCCAGTTGACATTGGAGGGTCGAGATGTAAAGAAAATGTGTTCATTTAATGTGAATGGGGGTATGTTCATCTGGTGTTATATACAAAATACTAATATTCATATAGTAATAGTATTGAATAGGAATACCGACTGGGGGTATCTTGATCTAGTATTATATAGAAATTATGATGTTGGGGTATTTTGATCTAATATTATTTAGAAATAATGATATTGGGGTATTTTGATCCAGTATTTTAAAGAAATAATGATATTGGGGTATTGTGTCTATTAATATATAGAAATCATGATATTGGTTCGATTTGAGCATGTATTCGGCTTAGCTCATCCAACAACAAAAAATAACAATTTTTTTTTATTTTTTTTTTTTTTAATTAAATTTTCGTGATACAGTTTCAAAGATTTGATCTAATTTTTTTTTTTTTTTTTTTTTTTATTTATTTTTTTTTTTTAAAGTTTTTTTTTTTTTTTTTTTTTTTAATATGAATGGTTTGATGAAAGTATTTTTTTTACAAAATCCTTTACAATAACTTCGCTTTTCTTCGTGTGATTGTGGCAATATCTTGTGATGGGTTATTGACCCACTACCCGACATCTTATCGAGCTGAAACACGGCACAAAAAACTCTTTGCTTTCAAAACATAATTGATCACATTTTCAGCCCTACCCCACCCCTAACCTACAAAAATAAATTTTTTTCCTGTTTTTCGAAAAAAAAAAGGGGGGGGGGGTGTTAATTCATTAAGTTCGTAGTTTGGCCGGGGGATTAATGGGGCGGCTGTTGCTTTGTGCTATGTTTTTGTTACGTATTTGGATATGCAGTTTTAAAAATGTATTTTTGAAGGGGAAAATGATTTCAGCCCTTACCCACCCCTAACCTACAAAAATAAATTTTTTTCCTGTTTTTCGAAAAAAAAAAGGGGGGGGGGTGTTAATTCATTAAGTTCGTAGTTTGGCCGGGAGATTAATGGGGCAGCTGTTGCTATGTGCTATGTATTTGTTACGTATTTGGATATGCAGTTATAAAAATGTATTTTTGAAGGGGAAAATGGAGGACATATGAAAATTTTTTTTTCAGAAGTTTTCACCATTTACATAACCGCTTTTTAATAAATGAAAAATCACGTACAGTTACATAAATGTAAACAAAACTGCACAAGAAAGGAATTTTTACGAAACAATTTGTTAGTAGGGTTTTTTCTAATTATCAAAGAAAGAAAAGCCAAGCCTAAAATCGTGTTTTCAACACAACTTAGGATTAGGCATATAGCTGTTTGAGTTTTTTTTTGTTTTTTTTTATTTGTTCATTGCAAGAGAACATTTGGAATATAAGCGAATTCTGACAATCAGAAAACTTTACTGATTCAACATTTATTAATTCAGCATACACAAATGCTGATTCTACATAAACAGTTACTAATTGAACATGCACGTTGACGGATTCAAAATGCACATTTACTGATTCAACATACACTAAATCTACATAAACATTTATTGATTCAACATGCACTAAATCTACATAAACATTTACTGATTCAACATGCACTAAATCTACATGAATATTTATTGATTCAACATGCACTAAATCTACATAAACATTTACTGATTCAACATACACTAAATCTACATAAACATTTACTGATTCAACATGCACATTTACTGATTCAGCATGCACATTTACTGATTCAACATGCACATTTACTCATTTAGCATGCACATTTACTCATTCAGCATGCACATTTACTCATTCAGCATGCACATTTACTCATTCAGCATGCACATTTACTGATTCAACATGCACATTTATTGATTCAGCATGCACATTTACTGATTCAAAATGCACATTTACTGATTCAACATACACTGACTCTTCATAAACATTTACTGATTCCACATACACTGAGTCTTCATAAACATTTACTGATTCAGTATGCACATTTATTGATTCAGCATGCATATTTACTGTTTCAACATGCACATTTACTGATTCAACATGCACATTTATTGATTCATAATGCACATTTACTGATTCAACAAACTCTTTAACGGATTTAACATAGCCCCAACATGATTCAACATACCCTTTTCTTAATGATTTGACATACCAATCAACTGATTTGACATACCAATCAACTGATTTGACATACCAATCAACTGATTTGACATACCAATCAACTGATTTGACATACCAATCAACTGATTTGACATACCAAGCAACTGATTTGACATACCAATCAACTGATTTGACATACCAATCAACTGATTTGTCATACCAATCAACTGATTTGACATACCAATCAACTGATTTGACATACCAATCAACTGATTTAACATACCAATCAACTGATTTGACATAACAATCAACTGATTTGACATACCAATCATCTGATTTGACATACCAATCAACTGATTTCACATACCAATCAACTGATTTGACATACCAATCAACTGATTTGACATACCAATCAACTGCTTTGACATACCAAACAACTGATTTGACATACAAATCAACTGATTTGACATACCAATCAACTGATTTCACATACCAATCAACTGATTTGACATACCAATCAACTGCTTTGACATACCAATCAACTGATTTGACATACCAATCAACTGATTTGACATACCAATCAACTGATTTCACATACAGATCAACTGATTTGACATACCAATCAACTGATTTGACATACCAATCAACTGATTTGACATACCAATCAACTGATTTGACATACCAATCAACTGATTTGACATACCAATCAACTGATTTGACATACCAATCAACTGCTTTGACATACCAATCAACTGATTTCAACATACCAATCAACTGATTTGACATACCAATCAACTGATTTGACATACCAATCAACTGATTTGACATACCAATCAACTGATTTGACATACCAATCAACTGCTTTGACATACCAATCAACTGATTTCACATACCAATCAACTGATTTCACATACCAATCAACTGATTTCACATACAGATCAACTGATTTGACATACCAATCAACTGATTTGACATAACAATCAACAGATTTGACATACCAATCAACTGATTTGACATACCAATCAACTGATTTGACATACCAATCAACTGATTTCACATACCAATCAACTGATTTCACATACCAATCAACTGATTTCACATACCAATCAACTGATTTCACATACCAATCAACTGATTTCACATACCAATCAACTGATTTCACATACCCATTCGTCTTTATTTAAAATCTGCTTGACGCCCACCACTACCCCCACCCCCTCCCCACACACACACCTTCACTTCATATACTGTCCAACAAATGTTCGTTTGTTTTAAGGTCGCAATGTGGCACTGCGACAGAATGCGAGCCAGTCCGGCACCTACGTGGACCGTACAGGTGTATCAACAGTGGCCTCGAACGCGGTGGACGGCACCACTATACAGGATTACTTCAAAGGCTCATGCACCCACACGTGGAACTCGCAGTGGAACTCGCACCGCGTCAGTTACTGGAATCTGACCCTGCAGCGAGATTATTTTATCACACGATATGTTCTGTACAATCGGCAAGGCGAAAGCGGTGAGTGGGTGGTTGCATCAAAACAGTTTAAGAAAGATGTGCCACTGGCAAACATGTGAATGGTTTTTGTATTATTTAAGCATAAGATGTAATCTATGCAAGGAGGTAAGACTTAATCTGGTGTGATGTGGTTTTTTTTTTTGGAAGGAGGTAAGAATTACTCTGGTGTAATGTGTTTGTAGAAGAAAGTAAGAATTACTCTGGTGTGGTGTGTCTGTGGAAGGATTTAAGACTAACTCTGCTGTGATGTGTCGTTTGAAGGATTTAAGACTTACTCTGGTGGGATGTGTTGTTTTTTGGAAGGAAGTAAGACTTACTCTGGTGTGATATGTGTGTGAAAGGAAGTAAGAATTACTCTGGTGTGATGTGTCTGTGGAAGGATGTAAGACTTACTCTTGTGTGATGGGGTTTTTTTTGGAAGGATGTAAGACCTACTCTTATTGGATGTGTTTTTGTAATGATGTAAGACACTCTGGTGTGATGTGTTTTTGTAAAGAAGTAAGAATTACTCTGGTGTGATGAGTCTGTGGGAGTATGTATTGAGGATGTGTTCACCGACCAAAAGCATATGCTAAAACAATGGGACTCGAAATACTAAATTATGCTTGACTGGCACTCTAGCACTTTCATAGGTAATGTCATCATTCCCAATACAGGTTGTGGGTGCTTTAAAAGCCGGCCAATGGTATCATTTTAATGTTCTCGAGCCCGTATTATCTTGTTTCTCTTGATGCTCTCAAGTTGTTTACTATAAAAAAAACATATAACAGAACTGAAATGTGCGTCTGACTCAAATAGAAATGACACGAGACGTGAAGGCCGAGAATAACAACAACATAAAAAAAAAAACCCACAAAGACGTTTTATCTGTAAGCCTTGATCATTTAACATACTACCCTTTTGATATCTTCTTCTAATAAATTCACATTGCTGGAACGCTGGTCCTTCCCTATTATTCCTTTGACTCACTCGGGATAAGGTTTAAGCGTTCGACCTTTTCTTCAGGGCTAAGGCTGCCTGGTTTCAAGATAAGCACATACGACGCAGAGGGCGTCCTGGTGCTCAGCCACGCCGATCAGAGGCCCCAGAACCAACTGACGTACGACGTCCTGGATGTCAACTGGACGAAAGCCCCGGTGCGGCACGTGTCCGTGTCGCTCGACAGAGACAACAAACATGAATATAGAATAATTCTCTCCTTGTGCGAGATGGAAGCATACGGAGGTAAGATGGAATCACAATTTTTTTTTTTTTGTTTTTTTTTTGGGAGAGGGGAGGTTAAACTATCACTGCATTGCAGTTCTCTTTAAATTGTTGTTATTTGATTTTACTTAATCCCTAGCTTTTCGTCCTGACCGAAAGACTCCTTGGGCGGTGGGGGTTAGTAACGCCCCACCATTTTGGAAACAAAAGCGCCCAAACCCCCGGGAGAGTCGGCTGTGATCGCTTTAAACGCAGCGTTTTCGGTCGGCCGGTTGTGCCCCAGGCGTGCCACCGCACGGTCTGGCGGCGGAGAAACTCAGCGTCTGCTCGTGTGGAGGTGTGCCGCGGGCGGGGGGGTGGCATTAAGAGCTCGCACTCTGCTGCCAACCGTCACCATTCCTCAATGTGACGTATAATATACTGTTGACTAACGAAGGCTATTTGGCGACACGTTTGGTGTTTTGTTTCGTCTGGGTTCTCGTTTTCCAGGTTTTCCCTTACTCCGCATGTTATATTTCCTATGTCTCCGTTGAACAACAGTTTCATAAATATATATATTTATATATAAATATATATTTAAAGATATATAAATATAAATGAAAGACTCCTAAAATGGTGACTTTAAGTAAACTTAAAAGCGTCACCCCTTTAAAGGAAAAAAAAATAACGATAAAATATGTTCATTGGATATCAGAAAAATAAAAATCCTCAAAGTTGTTGACTTTCCAACTGTTTATTTAATTTGAATATCTATTATCAAACAATGGCTCTCACCTTAACAAAAAATCTAAGATTCTTTTAGTGATCGAAACAAATGGAAAAGTTGTTTTTTTTTATCGCATTGTACATTTTCAGCACATAAATAAAACAATTTTAACACAAACATCTACATTAAATTATTTCACAAGTGAAAAAAAAAACTGCCATTCAGGGATTTATCTTAGCCAATTCAGGGACTTATTAGTTCTCAATAAGATTTTTGACTTCAGGAGTAGCACGCTGGTAAATTCTTACAGGTTGGGGAACAAAAGAAGTTTTGTTTCTTTCAGTCCTTGCCTTGAGAGAAAGAATTCCTCCCGAACGGGCCGATCCTACGTATCTGTGATGAAGAGGGGTCATTGTAGCATTTAAAATGGGTTTAGTTTTAAAATAACATCTTTCTTCAAATAGTTCTTCAAGTGAAGGATATTTAGTTTGTGTTATGTTCCTAGCTTTCTTGAATAGTCTTTTTATTTAGTGTTCAATATCAGACGATGAATTCCACACCCGCTGGTAATATTGAAATTAAGTAGGCTTCCAAATTGTTGCATTGCATGACATTGACACAATGAAAATTGCGACAACCCCAGCGACGCGGAACGCATGAAGAGCAGAGTGAAACATACAAGAAACACTTTTGGACATATACTACATCCAGGTCTATTTCCAGTAGTCGTCTTAGAGAGCAAATGGATTAAACAGGCAAGTACGAGAGAGTCAGGCTGACGAATTGAGCAACTCTCCTTCACTTTACACAAAATACAGCTCAAATCAAGGCTGCCATTTATGGCGAAAATTGCTTTGTTCATCTTCGTATTCGAAGGACGAATAATAATAATAATAATAATAATAATAATGGGTATAAATTGTAAAAACTGAATATTAACTTCCCAATATTAAATCACACACTGATCAATATTTATCATATTATTATTTTTTTTATTTCCACTTCACAGACTGTCCTTCTGGTACCTGGGGCCTAGAATGTGAGAACTGCTCTACCAGCTGTAACAACCAGTCATGCTTACGGGACACGGGTTTATGTAGCCACGGCTGCGTTGGGAACAAGAAAGCTCCAATGTGTACAGAAAGTAAGTACACTATTACTTTAGAGTTCTGCGTTTATCTAACTCTTTTTCTTACTGCTATCCCTCTTCAGTATTTTATCTATTGTTTGTTTAATTAACCTAGTTAATCTTATTAATTGGTATTTATATTAAGTGAACTAAAACAATGTGTTTAAATATTTTCGCGGTCCCAAAGGGCTGATAATTTGCCGAAAGGGAATTTTTTTTTTTCTTGCACAAATTGCCGCATAATTTATTCACAAATACAACAGTGAAATAAGTGAAGTTTATATCCTTAATATGTAGAATATATTATAACAAATATTCTTCAACAATATTTTAAAAAATGGAATACTTAACATATTCCTTTTTGGTGTCAATTTTTGTATATACTTTTTTAATGCTGAATGCATTTCTAATCAACCCGTGACGCCATCGTGATTGGTTATAAATTGTTGGGTTTTTTTTTGTTTCTGCGTGTATCAGCAGCGTGTGATAGAGGTACCTGGGGTATCAACTGTGCCCAGGCGTGTCAAAACAGCTGTCATTTCAATTCTTGTCGCCCGGACACGGGACTTTGTGACCTGGGGTGCGCTGGCTACCAAGATTTCCCATACTGCACCGCCGGTAAGTGTATCTGGCCTTCACAGCTGTAAGGTAATATAAGATATGTTAAGATAAGATAAGACAAGATACGATAAGATGGGATAAAGCTAAGATAAGATAAGATTCTTTTATTATATAAAATATTTTTTTAATGTGCTTCTATTACATTGTACCTCTTCCTTACCAGATTATTGATAATTACTCTTAATTAAGATGAAATGTTTTTAAACTAGAGAAATTTTGTATGCAAAACATTTAAAGTATTTCTCAAATGCAAAAAATAGCCATAACATCTTACAGACCCTCACTCCACATGGATACATTGACTGAAGACTGATTATTTGTGAAAAGCCGTGGGAGCACACTGGTTAATCCTGACAAACAGAAATGCTGTACATTTTATTTATCCTTTTTAATTTTGTTTTTAAATGGGGATACGTAATAAACAATATATTTTAAAAAATTAGACGATATCTTACAGAACACTCTAATGTAGGTAAGTGCTCGCCTAGGTTTAGTGCATAATTTTCCAGCACACTCTTACTAAGCTATCTGCATGAGTTTAAATTAAATCTCCAGACTCCGAATTAAGGATACCAGCGGTGCACCTCGTGTTTGTTTTCTTTTAACCTGTTGTCCCCGCAAACCAAGGCTTACCGCTAAACTTAAGTTTCCGAGGAAAAACAAATCTGAATATAAAAAGTATAGGTTCATTACTTAAGGACAGAAAGCGCTTAAAAGAAGTCCTTCCCTAAATAGGTATGCATATTGTTGGGTTTTTTTTTTGTTTTTGTTTTTTTTCAGACTGCAGTCCAGGCACGTGGGGTGTCAACTGTAGCCAGGGGTGCAAGAGTGTCAACTGCCTTAACAGTTCATGTGCCAGGGACACCGGGCTATGTGACCTGGGATGCAAAGGCCACTCGGATTTCCCCAAATGTGCTGTTAGTAAGTCTTGTGGTTTTGACTTTTTGGTGCTATGGTGAACATTTGAGAACCCATTCAGGCGTTGTATTAGAGCAGATTTTTTTTTTCTAAAATAAAAATTATCAAAATATTAAAATTGTTGAGTGTATGGGTTAAAATGTATTTCCTTGAAGCAAGTTTTTTTATTGTTTTTTTTTGCTGGCATCTGTCCGTTACAATTTGACGATGGTGAAGACTTCGTAGACGAAATCCACAAAATTTGCAAGTTGTAAAATTTACAAGGGTATTTAAGGTCAAAATAATAAACTTTATATGAAATAATAACTGTAAGTACCGTATAAACAAATAGAAAATAAAGTTACCAAGTTCGGGTGCACGCTTTAGATCAGAATTAACTTTAAAACAAGTTAAAAGGTCCATAATTACAC